ATGAATTTCATGACTGCTTTCTCTATTTCTATGAGGAATGTTGTTGGGATTTTGATCAGAATTGCATTAAATCTGTGTAACATTTTTGGTAGTGTGGCTATTTTGACAATATAAATCCAGAGGGTTCATCACTGATGTTTAGAAAGGCATTTGCTTTATGGGTATTGATTTTATATCCTGTTTCTTTGCTGAATTCATTTATTAATTCTAAAAGTTTTCTGGTGAATTTTTTTTTGATCCTCTAAATATAGAATCATTTCATCAGCAAAAAATGATAGTTTGAGTTCTTCTTTTCCTATTCATATCTCTTTAATTTCTTTTGTCTGTCTAATTGCTCTGGCTAGAGTTTCAAGGACTATGTTGAATAAAACAGGGCATCCCTGCTTGTTCCAAATTTTAGAGGGAATGCTTCCAATTTTTCTCTATTTAAAATGATTGTTCATTCAATTTAAATCATTTTATGTGCCATGTAAGATATCTAGAGGACTCATTTTTTAAGAAAATCATTCACAAATTATTATCATAAAACTGATATTTGTTCTTCCTTTAAAACTGGAATATGAACAAACAGGAAAAAAAAGTCAAGTGACTTTTTTTTTTTTTTTTTTTTTTACAATGCCAGCTCTATGTATCAAGAGTCTGTATGCCTAGCAAGCTCAAGAATTTCACTCAGGGACCTAGTAACTGCTTAAGGACAAACCTAACTTCTTTGAGGAATTCACAGCAAGTGTCCTGGTCCCCATTTGCTTGTTTCTGATTTTCTCCCTCTGATTTTATTATTCTGAAGAATAATATCTGGAGAGTAGGCCAGTGTGAGACAAGATCTGAAATAGGCTGGTCTGTTTGGCTTCTGTGTTGTAATCCATCCTAATCAGATCCAGAGGGCATCTGGAGTCCAGGCTGAGGCCTCACGCCTTAGGGCCTGCTCTCTGCTAGAGGAAAATTTGTGACCCAGAAACAACCTGTGTTAACAGAGTGATTTAATTTCTTTAGGTCTTTTTAAAATATGCTCAAGATGATATTATATATTAAAATTTGATGCTCTATTAAGTTTCTCAAGAAATACTCTGCATTGATATTGTGATGGTAAGAAATAGATTATATTTGAAGCTGTATACCATTCCGTCTTATAGATTGAGATTACACCATTATTTCACTTGTAAAAGCACTTCAGAATTACTTAATAACCCCCCCCCAATTTTTTTCTCCTTTCTATTCATTCAATTTAAATAAATTTATGTGCCATATAAGATATTTAGAGAAGGACAACCTAGATACACAGAATTGATATGGTAAATAATACCAAAATAATTTATTTTGCCTTTCTTATACTTTTAGAATTCTAGGAGTTTGTTTCTGGACTTTTCTTTTTTTACTATTAGGAATTATGATGTACAGAATACCTTTGTGTTTAAAGCTCTTTTATTTTAATTAGAATTTTACTTTGAAGAAAAGTGCCAGTAGAATTTCTGAATCAAAGAATAAGACTTTTGAAAATTATTCAAAATTATTGTATATTCTTTCCAGAAGTGAACTAAAAATGCCAAAATCAGTGATGAGATTCCTTTTTTATGACAAGAACAGCATAACTAATAAAAAACACACATAACACAACATATTCCACTATAACACAAATTTAGCCCCATTCCCTATACCAAAAGAATGTCCCTATTCTAGCAGAGGGTCCTCTGTCATGGGGACTATTTACTCTCCAGTAATTCCTAGCAGGAAATGACCTGCGTAGGTAGTAACACCACCCAGGAGGGCTTGCTTCACAGTGGAGATCGAAGCTGGACAGCTCCTGTGTGATGCCCTTTCTGGGGGTCTGTCAAAGTCACTCCTTCTCACTCATGTTCAACCAACTAACCATTCATTCTAGAATTTTGAAATTGTCTTTAGAAGTAAATGACTGTTTAAAATATTTAAAAATAAAGTAGCACTATTATATTTTAATCATTTTTTCAATGATTCATTTATTGAAACTACTCATATTATTAGAGATATAGAATCATAATGAGGTACTATAATTTTTGTTAATGAAACAATCACACTGCTTAATCTTTCAGTCACATAATGGATCCTATAATGATATCCTTTTGGATCTCATTTTAAATTAATGCACACATTAATTGAGCTCAGGAGAACTCAACTACTGAGTCACATCTCCAGCCCTTTTTGTATTTTATTTAGAGACAGGATCTCACTGATTTGCACAGGGCCTTGCTAAGTTGCTGAGGCTGGATTTGAACTCATGACCCTCTTGCCTCAAACTCTGGGGGTGCTGGGATTACAGGTGTGTACCACCATGCCTGGTGCACATTAGTTTTAGATAGGTAGAAATGTACAACTAAGACATTTAAAAAATATGTTTAGAGTTTAATTTTTTCTACTTTACAGATAGTTATTGGGACAATTGGTGAAATATGAATAATGTTTGCAGATTTCATAATAACATGGAATAAAATTTTAATATCTAATTTCAGTAATTATAGTGGTTATGTAATGGGTAAAAAGGGAATTGTGGCTTCATTGTTCCAAGTTATCCTTATATGATTCAGAAAAAAAATGCTTCATATATATATAGACACATAAATATTCAGATATATATGTTGTGAATATCTACACATGCACACAACCACATATATATATATATATATATATATATATATATACACACACACACATATATCACATATTGCAAAATGTTAACAGTTGGGGGAATTTGGATGAGGTTTTTGTACTATTCTTGCAAATTTTCTATGAATCTAAAATTAATTTAAAGCGAAAAAATTACAAAAACCAATAAAAAATGGACCAGAAAAACTCCTACACTAAAGTTTTCCTCTACTCACTTTGTGTAATTTTAATATTAGCATTAATTTAATAATTTTAAAAGAAAAGACAGATGATAGTATATAGAGGAGGGTCTTATAAATTATGTGATATTCTGGTTGTGGGAACACCACTATAAAGCACTTAAATGAGATATGGCAAAGCTAAAGCTAAAATTAATTGTCCTTTCATTTAGAATAAGTGCTCTGCAGACTAATTATGCATTCAAAATCATCACAATGCATATTCATAATGAATATTATGAGCTCCAGAATATTCATTCAATACTGAATTATTGCTCAATATAATAATTATTCAGTGATATCCTGGAGATTCAAGATGTTAATTTTATTATTGATTTGTACATTCAATTTGTATCAAACCAATGTATTAATAGTCATGTTTTGTGTAGGATCCATTGATTTTTATTATGCACTTTCAATTTGCTGAGAGCTACATGCATGATAGGAGGCAGCCCCTGTTCATTTTCAAGGTGCTTTTCTAAGATAGAATAATAAAGACAGCTTGAGCAAGGCTGCTGCTCTGTCAGGTTTTCACGGGATTGCCACCTCTTTCCTCCTTCCAGATGGGGAGAAGAGGGCAGCTGAGGCGCGCCGCTCAGGGAGGTGGGAGGAGAGCACAGGTGAGCGGGTGTGCACCTCCTTTCTGGGAGCAGCCTCCTCAGCTGTCATCTCTTCTTCAGGAAAGTCATTTATTTAGGGCTGTGCAGGCATTCAGAGGACACTTCTCTGGGGCTCACCTCAGGATGACTTTGCAAAAGCAAGGAAGTCTGGAAACAAGGCTGGCTGAGGTTGGGCTTGGCTGAGGCTGAGTGACAGATGGCAGCATGGGAGGTGTGCTGAGCTCAGTTTGTGTAGTGACGCTGGACAGCATGAAGATGCTAGGACCTCAAAGGAGCCCTGATTTCTTTTTTCTTGATACCTTAGCTTGGCTTGGCATCGACTCCGGAAGGTTTCTTTCCTCTGAATAACCACATTGACAGCTACCTCTCTGTTCACTGACTCCCAAAGGCTTAGCTATGGGCTTTCCATCACCTTCAGACTTTATCTTTGTCTGTATTCATGCCTGTGCTGCTTTGCTTGAGTGTCTCCCTCAGTGCACAATTAGAAGATGAAAACTCTTTCTCTCCTAGTGGTTAAGGGCACGACCTTTCACGTTTCAATTCCCAGCTCTTCCTTCTACACTGGTTCTAACACCCTGGACAAGTATTTAAATTCTTTCATTCTGAGCCTTCACATCTAATGCAAACAGCAACTATTATTTTGATCTGTAATCAATCATCAATAAGATCTTGGCCTTGGGTTTCTGGATAATTCAAAAGAAATGAAAACACAAATGATTGGGTAATTCCACTAGTCTGATACTATCTTACAGAAGATAGGACTCAGGCCTCCCCAGCTCTTCCCACTATGTGATGTGTCATGGTGGGCAATATCTGAAGAGTGGCAGTTGAATGGGAAGCTGAAGGTGCAATTCCATTTTGTACTTTTGGACAGGCCCTTCCCCAGTTACCCACTGTTACATACCAGTGGGAGTGGAGGCAATGTCCTCGAGTTCCACCAGATGGCCACATGATACTACAGACAGGACTCAGGAAACAGAATCATTGATACTATAGACAGGACTCAGGGGAAACAGAACCATTAATTGGGACAAGGAGAAGGTGGCCATCCTATGTAGCTATCCAAGGCCATTCTACTTTGGAAAATTCAGGGCCACTCAGGTTGTGTAGCATGTAACATGTGAGTCCTCAGGAGTATAGCCAGAGTCCTAATTTGCAGAGAGAAAAATTTCAATTTTATTTTTTTTCTAAGATTGTTCTAAGTTCATTTGAATATTAGTGCTTTTGTGATTATTATGACTCATTGGTTTCAGAAGTCTGAATCTTTTTATCACCAGAGTCTTCAACATCTGCTTAAAAATTTAAATGGCTAACATTTCAGTTCCTGGTACATTATGAGGGTTCAGAAAATGGTAGCTGTTATTGTACTTTGAAATATCATATGTCATTGGATACTGCCACAAAAGAAATGGAGCTTCTTTAAATGTTTGAACCTGGTTAAATTATTCTAGAATCCTGATTATATATTCTTACCAAATAACAGTATGCATGCTTCTAACCTACCTAACATTTCCCACAAATCAAACCTGAGTCACCTCAATCATCAAAGCCAACCCACTAACCTCGGGCTTCAAAGAATTCTGGTACAACTATGTGATGATTCTACATTGTAAATGTTTTCAGTAAACATGGCTTGCTCTGTTTCTCTTCTCTCTTTGCTTTCTGTTAAATTTTACAAAAATTGGGAGGATTTTTGTAAAATCTTTGTCTTTCTTTGTCTATCTTTGTCTTTCTCAGAGTAATTAGAGTTGAGGGCATTTGCTAGGAAAGAGAGAGTCACTCAAGACAAGAAGAACAAGTGCTTACTGAAGATGAAGCTCCAGATATACACTTGACTCAGCTGTACTTGAAAGTCATTTTCTTTCATGCCAGAGAGAAACTTATTTATTAGTTCTGCTCATCTTTGGAAGGTAGGAATCTAAGCCTGCAGGAGAGCCAGGGAGAGCTTCAGAAATATATGTAAGGTCTGCAGATCTCAGAGACCAGATGTTTACCTGAGCAAACCTGGAGCAGTGTCCACAGGCATTATAAAAATAAAAATGCCCACTCTTTCCCTTTACCTATGACTAGGCTGGGGAATGTTTTTACACCATTAGGGGACACATCAGGACACAGAGTGGTCTACTCTATAGTAGTGCTCTACGTCCTTGCTAGTGGGCAACTTAATATTTCACATATATGGATGGCTGAGTGCAATTACCAGATACTCAGATAAATAGTTAGCCACCCTCACTACTAAGATAGCACCATTTCTGAGTAGTTTCCTCTTTGCAGTGTTTTCACCTCTACAGGGGCTATAACATCAACATGCAAGCCGAAGAAAATCAAACAGTAGGATTTACACATTCTGGAATCAAGACTGTCGCTCCTATTTTATTTACTTCACTCAAAAGGCTTTGATGAGGGATGTTTTGATGACTATCTCTCTGAACAGTTGCAGCATCCTATAAATGATTGTTCTACAGCTTTCAAGAAAATTCTGTCATCCCAGCTCTCAAGTTCTTTTTACCCAGCTCTAATTACATAAATTGTTATATAAACAGATGTCTGTTACACCAAAGTCTACTTCGCTTGGGAACTGTAATTTTTCTGAGTTCATATGCCAGTGGGCTAAAAGAAACATCTTTTGATGTTCCCATGGAAGGTTTTTATGCAGTCAGGATGTGAGCAGAAAAGCAGTCATCAATCAGGCCCCTTTGCCTTCATGCTCCAAGGAACAGAGAGAAAAGACTCAGAAGAGAGAACACCACAGGCCTCAGCTTGATGCCTAATGGAACTCTTTATCTTGGTTAAATTAATTCCTTTTCCCAAGATACACACTTCTGTCAATGACTCCCCTATAACCACAACAAAGACAATTGTAAATAAATCACTCTCCTATGTGACGTTTCATTTGATTGTTATAAAAGAGTCACGAAATTGCTAGAGTGCAAGCCATGGTCTTCCGTTAGGCAGGACATATTTCAAAGCCACTGTGCTAACACTTATTCATTCATTCATTCATGCATGTTTGCATGGAATATTTCTGAGTGTTTACTGTGTGCCTGGAATCAGGTGCTTATTAAGGGTAATGAAAAATAAAAGACTTGAAAGCTCCCCTCAAGAGACTTATAATTTAGTCCAGGAGATAGATATTAATCCATTAATAATAAAAGTTGATAATGAATTGTAAGGCATAGTAAGTTTATGGTTTGAAAGTATAAAAAAGTATAGGAGCATATAGAACTTAGAACTAAGGGGGATCCCTTCAAAAGATGAATTTTGAGTTTAACGTGATTAATGCATTGGGCAGAATAAGTAAAGGGAACAGCATCTGGTGGGAAAAATCAAGTTCTGCTTTATTGACCCTGATGAAGGCCAACTTGGTTGGAATGCCAAGAGGAAGGAGCATGGAATAAGGCGAGAGAAGCAGGAGCAGGGCAGTGTCTGACTGGGAAAAGCCCCACATGCCAAGTTAATTTCATCTTTTTCAACTTGAGAGCCACAGAGAACATTATGCATCTTATTTAGGAAAGACACATGATCAGATTTGCATTCTTAAGAGCCAAGTCTGGCTATAGAGTGAAGGATTGGGGCAGGGCTCAAAAGTGCATGAGGGAGACTGGTGATAAGGTAGTCTGTGGTCAGCAGTCTGAGGAAGGGAAGACCTGAGTTTGAACTAGACCTGGTAGTGAACGTAGAGAGAAATGCAGATTATAGAGATACTTAGAAGAGCATGTTTAGAGGTGGAGACTCATAGCATCTCCCACCTCAGGTAACTGGGTAGAGTCCTCTTTGGAGATGCCCTCCTCCAACCTGCTACAACTGATCACCTGTAGCTTTATCCCTTGGGATTCCCCCCTCATGAATGCTCTATTTGGAATTCTAAGGACTGACTATAGCTGCTGCACTGGTCCAAATATTAGTAAATGCTTAGAAGCTTTGAGCCCACCTGAAGCTCACAAGCATGGAATTTCTTGGCTTCTTGGTCCCAAACCTGTTAGTTTTTCTACAGGTTTTCCATCTCACCACTCTCTCTCATCTCAAGGCAGAAACATCGCCAATCATTTACCAGACTTCTGTGCTCTGGTCTTTTCCTTCTTCTCCTCTTCTAGAACCAACCCCTCATTCTATGTATTATTCTACCTTCTCTAAGTGTTTCTAACTCTTCCCACAGAGCAGAGTTGTCATGCATTCACTTCTTCTCCTGAAGTGTCCCCTGGATAGCCCTGTCCCACCCTTCCTGCCAGCCAATGCCCACAACTCATGCGTTCTGCTCCTCTTTCTCTTGCCCACAGCTCACACCCACTCAGTTACCCACCGCTGCACTGATGATATCATGGATTCTGAATATGGTACCTAGTCATCAGAACACATTTTAGAATGCTACTGCAGCAGCATTTGATGTTCCTATTTCCTATTTTTAGAACTTCTCCTTGGGTTTTCAGGACTCCTTCTTTTTCTGTTACTCCTATTTTCTCTGTTTATTCCTACTTAGGGCTTATAAAATTTTCCATTATAACTTTATTGACTGTCCAAAGTTGGATCCAAAAAATTCTCCTTTTTCATGCTGTAATATATGTTGGGAACTCCAGTCCTTTGTTGGTTTTGACTATTGCCCACAAACTGGTACCAGCACACTAGTACCATAACATGCTGACAATCCAAAGGGAATTTCTAGCCTATTCCTCAGTCTTCAGTGCTAACATTTCACGAACCAGAGACCTAAACCTAAATTTCAAAGTAAAACAGAATAAAAACAAAACTTTGATGCCATATATTTAAGTAACAAATTATATGACAGTTTTAGTCCTTATCATTGGATATACCCAAGTAAGTATAGACCACAATGACATGGTGATACTGTAGAGAGAATCCAAACATTGAATAGGAAAATGAGGTTAAATTAGATCTCCTCTAAGTTCTTATATAATTTAAAATTGGGTGATTTAAATAACATTATAAGGACAAGGTAAATGCAAGACATTTTCAAATATTAAATTTATTAAACCTCTAAACAATCCTGTGATTTAAGTATTATGTCCATCTGTTTTTTGAAAAAAGAATTGATTAATTTATTTGTCCAAAACCCATAGCAGAATATGAATAGCAGAGATGGGATTTAGAGATTTTTATCTTCTGACTCCTATTGCTTTCACATGATAATAGTTAATTGTCTGATGTGTACACATATTGTTTCTTCAACAGGATTATCTTTCTGAAAATGGTAAACATAAATAGATATTTATTTTATTAATCCTCCAGGATGCCTAATCAATCAGCTAAGTACACTGCAGATCTAGGTTTCATGGGGACTGAAGCTTACAAAAAGTTTGGGGTGCCCTTTTAGAAGAATAAGACAAAATCATGGAGATACCTCCTAAGGCTTTACAAAGTTTAACACATTTGGTCGGGGTGGGGTGGGCTCTGAAGCTTAAGCCTAATTAAATGTATTGCAGGACTAAACACCTGTCACCTAAACACAGTTATCTATACAATAAATCATCACAGAAAGCTCATTTGCCATTCAAAATTGTTATAACCATTTTTAGATCTTTGCAGTCAGAGATGGGGTGTTTTGATGGTTTCCAAAGGAACCAGCCGATTCCTCTAAAATCTGAGGCCCATCAATAGAATGCAAAACTGGCATTTGGTATGATAGATTTATTTTGGAAGTTTTTGCATGGCATTGTAAGGTAAAGTCTTCTCATTATAAATATTTCTTAATGTTTCCTGTATATCTCAGATAGACTTTGAGAATCCCAAGCAGCACTGCTGCTGTTAAGATAGTTCCTTTCCTAAAAGGAAGGCCTCCAAGGAGCTGAGGTCATTAATGGATGCGTGTTGATGCCTACAAAACAAACTAGAGATGAAGACTTGCTCATGGCATTAGCCAGAATAGGAAAGCATTTAAATTAGGTGCAAAGCAAAGAAATTGTTAAGAAGATATTGTTGTCAGGACAGTTGTGTGGAAACTTGCTCCAGGCACCCTAGTTTACCTTTACTGCTTATTCTTATTAATAAAAAAATGCTTGCCATTCTCTGGAGTTTTGATACAAAGTCACCCCCTCATAGAAAACAAATTTTATCTCTGGATTATTCACTTCCTTAACAGTATGAAGTCCTTTCAGTCCTTACCTTTAGGTGAGAGAATGAATATAAACATACTCCCTGTTGTATTTTAGTTTTAAAATATAACCATGTTTATATTTTAGTGTTCAGAGAAATGATAGATTGATGATTCTCTGACCTCCTTATATTCTGACTTTCAAAATAAGAAGCTAAAAACACCTTACTTCACTTTCTAGGAAAGAAAGAAGTTTTGGCAAGCTGATGCTTTGCTCTTCTAATGAATGTTGTGTCGGTACTGCACATACAAAATGAATAGATCAGGATGATGTTGATGAAGAAAATGATGGATCCTAAGATATGTCCATGCATTGCCCAGTGACCCACTCAGACATTTGTTTTACACTTGCCCTTGAAGCTGTTCTTTTAGCTACAGCAGAAACAAGAAAGAACAGCCATAATTTAAGGCATAAATAATCAATGCAATGAAACAAAGAGGATGGATGAGCGACAAGTGGAAGGCAAGAAGCTGGCTGTAGCTACTAATGCTGATATAAAACAAAAAGTTTCATAAAGCAAAATGGGCTCTCCTTGTATTTTCTGTCATTTAGCTCCAGCAAATTTCTTTTTCAAATAGCTGAATGTCACTGTTTTCTTCTGAGCAAAGCCTTTGTGCATGTGAGGTTTGCATGCATTCTGCTTATTAATGGGCCAGAGCTCTTCATTTTGTCTAAGTCAATATTATATGGAGTGCTTTTTTCCATTTTACACTACCAATGATTACCTTTATTTAAATAAATAGAAGCTCTTCATTGCTGTCCATGGACTATGATCCACAAACACACCACCTTTTAACAGCCTTTATTATCACTTGCATGCTGTAATGAAAAGTAGATCAAGCAAAGAGAGCTCAATTTAAAAAACTGTCATATATTCCAAACATTAACAGTGCTCATTATATTCACCATGTAGAAGACATTTAAAAATTTGTTGCAAACTATTATATTCTTTCAACATAATTTCTTTTAAGCCTTAACATTGAAGCAGGGAAAAAGTGCTGAATGACATTTTGTTACATAATGATATTATTTATTATTTTTACTTCAGCTAGTGGTGCTACTTAAAATCACAGTGAATCTAAAATTATCATTTACAAGTTCTGTTGCTGTGTTTTCCAGGATAAAATTTAAATGTGCACAGATAAAGTACAGGAACTCTGTCAGTTGTATGCTTTTGGTCCCCTGAGAAAAAGCGGATGAGAAACATGTTCATCAGTTTCCTATAGTGTCTTTCTTTGCAGGAGTGCAGATTTTCCTATTCAGTCAGGCATGAGATTTGCTTCTGGGAGTTTATTCATTGTCTCAGTGAATGACCATGGCTTGGTCCTTATTTATGTATTCATTCAAATCTATTGTTCATGCTCTGATTATGTTATTCAGGAAGAAACTAAAGCATCAAACTGATTTTACTGTGGAGCCTGTGTGTACACATTTTGTCAGAAAAATAATAGATCTTAATCTTTTAATCATGATATTATGTATTAGTTATCATTGCTGTGCAATAAGTTATCTCAACAATTAATGACTTAAAATAAGAGCCAGCACATTATATCCCATAGTATCTGTGTGTCATAAATTTGGGAGGGGTGTGGTTAGGAGGTTCTAGAGTAGGGTTTCTCAATGAGATGGGAGTCAGATCTTGGCCTGGCACCAGCCCATCTGAAGACTAGACTAGGGCTGGTGGATCCATGTTCAAGGTGGTCCTATTGTAATAAACTTTAACAATCAAGTTGGTGATTGAATATTCTTGATG